GGTATAGAGTGTAGTGTGAGTGGTACCCCAATAAAGAACACTGGTATAGAGTGTAGTGTGAGTGGTACCCCAATAAAGAACACTGGTATAGAGTGTAGTGTGAGTGGTACCCCAATGAAGAACACTGGTATAGAGTGTAGTGTGAGTGGTACGCCAATGAAGAACACTGGTATAGAGTGTAGTGTGAGTGGTACCCCAATAAAGAACACTGGTATAGAGTGTAGTGTGAGTGGTACCCCAATAAAGAACACTGGTATAGAGTGTAGTGTGAGTGGTACCCCAATGAAGAATGCTGGTATAGAGTGTAGTGTGAGTGGTACCCCAATGAAGAATGCTGGTATAGAGTGTAGTGTGAGTGGTACCCCAATGAAGAATGCTGGTATAGAGTGTAGTGTGAGTGGTACCCCAATGAAGAACGCTGGTATAGAGTGTAGTGTGAGTGGTACCCCAATGAAGAATGCTGGTATAGAATGCAGTGTAAATGGTACCCCAATGAAGAACACTGGTATAGAGTGTAGTGTGAGTGGTACCTCAATAAAGAACACTGGTATAGAGTGTAGTGTGAGTGGTACCCCAATAAAGAACAATGGTATAGAGTGTAGTGTGAGTGGTACCCCAATGAAGAACACTGGTATAGAGTGTAGTGTGAGTGGTACCCCAATGAAGAACACTGGTATAGAGTGTAGTGTGAGTGGTACCCCAATGAAGAACGCTGGTATAGAGTGTAGTGTGAGTGGTACCCCAATGAAGAACGCTGGTATAGAGTGTAGTGTGAGTGGTACGCCAATGAAGAACGCTGGTATAGAGTGTAGTGTGAGTGGTACCTCAATGAAGAACACTGGTATAGAGTGTAGTGTGAGTGGTACCTCAATGAAGAACACTGGTATAGAGTGTAGTGTGAGTGGTACCCCAATGAAGAACACTGGTATAGAGTGTAGTGTGAGTGGTACCCCAATAAAGAACGCTGGTATAGAGTGTAGTGTGAGTGGTACGCCAATGAAGAACGCTGGTATAGAGTGTAGTGTGAGTGGTACCCCAATGAAGAACGCTGGTATAGAGTGTAGTGTGAGTGGTACCCCAATGAAGAACGCTGGTATAGAGTGTAGTGTGAGTGGTACCCCAATGAAGAACGCTGGTATAGAGTGTAGTGTGAGTGGTACGCCAATGAAGAACACTGGTATAGAGTGTAGTGTGAGTGGTACACCAATGAAGAACACTGGTATAGAGTGTAGTGTGAGTGGTACCTCAATGAAGAACGCTGGTATAGAGTGTAGTGTGAGTGGTACCTCAATGAAGAACGCTGGTATAGAGTGTAGTGTGAGTGGTACCTCAATAAAGAACACTGGTATAGAGTGTAGTGTGAGTGGTACCCCAATGAAGAATGCTGGTATAGAGTGTAGTGTGAGTGGTACCCCAATGAAGAATGCTGGTATAGAGTGTAGTGTGAGTGGTACCCCAATGAAGAATGCTGGTATAGAGTGTAGTGTGAGTGGTACCCCAATGAAGAACGCTGGTATAGAGTGTAGTGTGAGTGGTACCCCAATGAAGAATGCTGGTATAGAATGCAGTGTAAATGGTACCCCAATGAAGAACACTGGTATAGAGTGTAGTGTGAGTGGTACCTCAATAAAGAACACTGGTATAGAGTGTAGTGTGAGTGGTACCCCAATAAAGAACAATGGTATAGAGTGTAGTGTGAGTGGTACCCCAATGAAGAACACTGGTATAGAGTGTAGTGTGAGTGGTACCCCAATGAAGAACACTGGTATAGAGTGTAGTGTGAGTGGTACCCCAATGAAGAACGCTGGTATAGAGTGTAGTGTGAGTGGTACCCCAATGAAGAACGCTGGTATAGAGTGTAGTGTGAGTGGTACGCCAATGAAGAACGCTGGTATAGAGTGTAGTGTGAGTGGTACCTCAATGAAGAACACTGGTATAGAGTGTAGTGTGAGTGGTACCTCAATGAAGAACACTGGTATAGAGTGTAGTGTGAGTGGTACCCCAAATGAAGAACACTGGTATAGAGTGTAGTGTGAGTGGTACCCCAATAAAGAACGCTGGTATAGAGTGTAGTGTGAGTGGTACGCCAATGAAGAACGCTGGTATAGAGTGTAGTGTGAGTGGTACCCCAATGAAGAACGCTGGTATAGAGTGTAGTGTGAGTGGTACCCCAATGAAGAACGCTGGTATAGAGTGTAGTGTGAGTGGTACCCCAATGAAGAACGCTGGTATAGAGTGTAGTGTGAGTGGTACCCCAATGAAGAACGCTGGTATAGAGTGTAGTGTGAGTGGTACGCCAATGAAGAACACTGGTATAGAGTGTAGTGTGAGTGGTACACCAATGAAGAACACTGGTATAGAGTGTAGTGTGAGTGGTACCTCAATGAAGAACGCTGGTATAGAGTGTAGTGTGAGTGGTACCTCAATGAAGAACGCTGGTATAGAGTGTAGTGTGAGTGGTACCTCAATAAAGAACACTGGTATAGAGTGTAGTGTGAGTGGTACCCCAATGAAGAACACTGGTATAGAGTGTAGTGTGAGTGGTACCTCAATGAAGAACACTGGTATAGAGTGTAGTGTGAGTGGTACCCCAATGAAGAACGCTGGTATAGAGTGTAGTGTGAGTGGTACCCCAATGAAGAACGCTGGTATAGAGTGTAGTGTGAGTGGTACCCCAATGAAGAACGCTGGTATAGAGTGTAGTGTGAGTGGTACCCCAATGAAGAACGCTGGTATAGAGTGTAGTGTGAGTGGTACCCCAATGAAGAACGCTGGTATAGAGTGTAGTGTGAGTGGTACGCCAATGAAGAACACTGGTATAGAGTGTAGTGTGAGTGGTACCCCAATGAAGAACGCTGGTATAGAGTGTAGTGTGAGTGGTACGCCAATGAAGAACGCTGGTATAGAGTGTAGTGTGAGTGGTACCCCAATGAAGAACGCTGGTATAGAGTGTAGTGTGAGTGGTACCCCAATGAAGAACGCTGGTATAGAGTGTAGTGTGAGTGGTACCCCAATAAAGAACACTGGTATAGAGTGTAGTGTGAGTGGTACCCCAATGAAGAACGCTGGTATAGAGTGTAGTGTGAGTGGTACCCCAATAAAGAACGCTGGTATAGAGTGTAGTGTGAGTGGTACCCCAATAAAGAACACTGGTATAGAGTGTAGTGTGAGTGGTACCCCAATGAAGAATGCTGGTATAGAGTGTAGTGTGAGTGGTACCCCAATGAAGAACGCTGGTATAGAGTGTAGTGTGAGTGGTACCCCAATGAAGAATGCTGGTATAGAATGCAGTGTGAGTGGTACCCCAATGAAGAACACTGGTATAGAGTGTAGTGTGAGTGGTACCTCAATAAAGAACACTGGTATAGAGTGTAGTGTGAGTGGTACCCCAATAAAGAACAATGGTATAGAGTGTAGTGTGAGTGGTACCCCAATGAAGAACACTGGTATAGAGTGTAGTGTGAGTGGTACCCCAATGAAGAACACTGGTATAGAGTGTAGTGTGAGTGGTACCCCAATGAAGAACGCTGGTATAGAGTGTAGTGTGAATGGTACGCCAATGAAGAACGCTGGTATAGAGTGTAGTGTGAGTGGTACCTCAATGAAGAACACTGGTATAGAGTGTAGTGTGAGTGGTACCTCAATGAAGAACACTGGTATAGAGTGTAGTGTGAGTGGTACCTCAATGAAGAACACTGGTATAGAGTGTAGTGTGAGTGGTACCCCAATGAAGAACGCTGGTATAGAGTGTAGTGTGAGTGGTACGCCAATGAAGAACGCTGGTATAGAGTGTAGTGTGAGTGGTACCCCAATGAAGAACGCTGGTATAGAGTGTAGTGTGAGTGGTACCCCGATGAAGAACGCTGGTATAGAGTGTAGTGTGAGTGGTACCCCGATGAAGAACGCTGGTATAGAGTGTAGTGTGAGTGGTACCCCGATGAAGAACGCTGGTATAGAGTGTAGTGTGAGTGGTACGCCAATGAAGAACACTGGTATAGAGTGTAGTGTGAGTGGTACCCCAATGAAGAACGCTGGTATAGAGTGTAGTGTGAGTGGTACCCCAATGAAGAACGCTGGTATAGAGTGTAGTGTGAGTGGTACGCCAATGAAGAACACTGGTATAGAGTGTAGTGTGAGTGGTACCCCAATGAAGAACACTGGTATAGAGTGTAGTGTGAGTGGTACCCCAATGAAGAACACTGGTATAGAGTGTAGTGTGAGTGGTACCGTAATGAAGAACACTGGTATAGAGTGTAGTGTGAGTGGTACCGTAATGAAGAACACTGGTATAGAGTGTAGTGTGAGTGGTACCGTAATGAAGAACACTGGTATAGAGTGTAGTGTGAGTGGTACCGTAATGAAGAACACTGGTATAGAGTGTAGTGTGAGTGGTACCCCAATAAAGAACACTGGTATAGAGTGCAGTGTGAGTGGTACCCCAATAAAGAACACTGGTATAGAGTGTAGTGTGAGTGGTACCCCAATAAAGAACACTGGTATAGAGTGTAGTGTGAGTGGTACCCCAATAAAGAACACTGGTATAGAGTGTAGTGTGAGTGGTACCCCAATAAAGAACACTGGTATAGAGTGTAGTGTGAGTGGTACCCCAATAAAGAACACTGGTATAGAGTGTAGTGTGATTGGTACCCCAATAAAGAGCACTGGTATAGAGTGCAGCGAAGTGGTACCCCAGTGACCCCCTAACTGATTAGAGAACATGTGAGAAACAAGTCATTCAGAATGGAGTAGCAGTCATGTACTAATAACTTCCCAGGTAATAGTAGAATACAAGGCAAGTGAAGATAATTTACTGGATACTTTGCAAGAAAATATGTTTACAGCGATATAAAACAACAAGTTTCAACATACTTATACTCAGAGCCAACAGTAAGTACCCTCACAACATTATTTACGAAAATATTAAAACATTAGAAAATGTGGCTGAGAAAGAGAAGGGTGAGAGCTGAGGGTTAAAAAAAACCAGTGAAGGTAAAGATTACCTCCAGTGATGTTCCCATAACCAACACCATATCTGTCTGCAGCATGTCTTTTAAGTAATAATAAAACCGCTTCGGGAGCTCTTCTCCAAAAAAGACAATATCTGGTTTCACAATGCCCTGTGAGTCAAACAAACAAAAACAAGAAGTGCATCAGTCTGCAATTAACTTAAAACATACAAAGTCACTGAGAAATCAACTGGGAACCCTTAATGCAGCAGAAACAGTATAATGTATATATATTGATTGGCACTCACAGAAAGAAGTAGAGAGACGGAAGGAAATCTTCTTCTTCTTCATTTTAACCAGTGGAACGTTCCGGATCTTCCAGAGCTTGAGTTCTGCATGCACATACATTTTACAAATCTGACTTATTTGGACGCAGACTGTTGGTTTTTTGCCTCGCTGGCAGATGCACTCCTACTTTGAAGAAAGCACCTAATTAAATCAACTCTTACGACATACTTGTTTGTGAGGCAATGGATCTATTCATTTCAACCCCCCCCCCCTCCCCCCGCCCTCACACACACACACAAACATGGGTCCCGGAACCCAAACAGGAAACACACAAAAATCAAATGCTATAGTTACCACACTAGGAATTGAAACTGTCACCTACAAATGAGGACAGCTTCTCACTGAAACTACACTTGCACTTCAGCAACTCACACAAAAAAAGTTGTCACTCTAAGCCAAGTAAGCACACAGCTTGATCTCTCTCTATTTCTTCTATTTGTTTATCATATAATGAGCCAGTGAGACAGACAGACACAGTTAACGAACGAAGGAACGAACGAACAAACAAACAAACTTTATTTTCAAAGGGTTACAAATTGGGCACGCAGGCCTGTCTGACATTCGGCCCTTCTAAGTACTCATTTTTCAGAGTACCAATGCCTGTTGTCAATAATGCATGTTATGGATGTAATAGAGAAATATACATTATGGAATAATGTATCCGCACATCATGTGTACACAATCTTACACACTCAAACACACACACACACATATACATACTCTTACATTCTCATACATGTACACTCATATACAGACATATGTAATACATTCATACACGCATCTACATACATCATCATCATCAGGTGCCTTGCCGACTGGCGTGGGCGATCATGCCTCTCCATAATCCGCGATCTCCTGCAGCATGTATCAGTTCGTGTGCCGACACACCTCCATGCCATGCAACAAGACTGTCAAGCATCTTCTCTCGTTGTCTTCCTCTATCCCTCCTTCCACAGATCTTTCCAGTGGTCACAACATGTTCTATTTTCCCTCTTCTCATAACATGGCCGAAAAATGATGACTGTCTCCTTCTGATGTCAGTGATAAGTTGTCTTCGGTCTCCCGCCTCTTTTAAAACCTCTTGGTTGCTCTTTTTGGCTGTCCAAGGTATTCTAAGCATTCTTCTGTAAAACCACATCTCTGAGGCCTCTAAAAATTGTTTGGCCTGCCTACCGATTGTCCAGGATTCACATCCATATGTTAAAACTGGATGTATGTAGCAAGCAAGAATTCTTTTTCTAACTCTCAATGACAAGGATATATTGCACAAGATGTTTTTCATTTTATAAAATGCAGTTTTTGCCTGTCCAATTCTGTTTCTTATTTCAGTTATGCATCTTCCATCTGATGTTATCCATGTGCCCAGATACTTAAATTTCTGTACTTGTCTTAAAATAACACCATTGACTTTTATTACACATTTAGGAATAATTTGTTTCTTTGATACCACCATTACTTCTGTCATAAAACACACACACATGCATACACAGAAATACATGCACAAACATAAAACACACACACATACATAGACATACATGCACACACACATTCCACACATATACACCTACACATGCATGCATGCATACACACACATACAATCACATATACAGACACCTACAATCACACATATACACTCACATGCATAAATACATGAACATGCATGCATAAATACATACATCCACACACATACATGCATATATACATACACACATCTATACATACACTCACATCTTTACACACATACATACATACTTGCAGACATACCTAAATACACACACATACTTACACAGCTACATATGCATACATACATCCACCAACATGCATTCATACACCCACATACAAAAAAGAGAGTCAGAATGAACAAATGAACAACAAACTTTTTTTTTTCAGAGGCTCCCAAGTTGGGCATACAGGCCTATCTTACATTTGGCAGTTCCAGACACTCATCTCTCAGACCAAACTTGTATTTTGTCAATAAAACAAGTTATGTTCATATACATATGAGTGAGAGGGAGAGTGAGAGAGAGAGTGGGATCTGAAACTTCAGGTTCAATGAGAAACAATTCTAAGTACTCACATCCCCCCCCCCCCCCCCCCTCTTGTGGATTCTGGGGCCCTATTAGATGGAAAATAAGAATAGACCCGCTGCCAACCCAAAAGCATGTCACAAGAGCTGACTAATTGGGAGCTTCCTTCAAAGTCGGAGTGCATCTGTCTGAGAGGCAAGGAACCAATAGTCTACATACAAATAAGCTGTATCTGTAAAACAGATATGCATACAATATTCAGATTCTGCAACAGGACTAGAGTTTCAAAGTGATCGAACAGTCAGAACTGTGCACCAGAGTTTACACCTGGTGAACGTGCAGAAGAAGTAGAAGAAGACAAATAAACAGAAGACAGTACTCACATAACATCCTCGTTTCTTGCAGGTGGGAAGTTTATCCTCAAATATACTTTCCTGTGAAAGGAAGTAACAAATATGTGAACTACATACAACCTGCCATGTGTAACTGGCTACTACGACTTCTATATGGAACACAAAAGTGTCAGCAGAAATGAATAAAGATGAATTAACATAAAATGATTTTCAGTTTTGGACTCTGTTTGGGCCACTGAGGCGGGGAGACACACTCTACAGACCAATCAGCACTTGTCGCATGATGCAATAAACATCACATTGCTTGAATTAATAAAACTCTACTTCTTCTTCTTCGCCTTCACCAGCTGTAAACTCTGGTGGAAAGTTCTGGTTTTTCATCCACTTCTAAACTCAAGTTCTGTTCCAGAACCTGAGTGTTGAATGTGCATCTGTTTTACAGATCTGACTCATTTGTATACAGACTGCTGGCTCCTTGCCTCTCAGGCAGATACACTCTGACTTCGAAGGAAGCTACCAATTAGTCGAGTGTTACGACATGCTTTTGGGTAGGCAGTGGGTCTATTCTTGTTTTACCTATAAAAGGGTCCCGGAACTCACACGGGGAAAACACTACTTAAATACCAATATAAGATCTATCAAGTTGAAAATGTCCACATCTTATACAGCTTCTGTCAAATTTTGTGTTAGATATTTATATAGATACACACACACACACACACACACACACACACATAACTTTTTTTTCTCATTTACCAGGAACCTCACTATCACACTATAAAGAAATAAGTATAGAGATCCTTTGGGGTAAATGAAACAGGATAATAAACATACAGATATGTACTGATTAACACTCATAAAATGCAGAGGAATGAAGTAGAGACAGGACATACTAGACAACATAAAAATTGAAAGCTTCAGTTAGCACACAGCTTATCTCTTCTTCCTTGCTCTGCGTTAATGAGTCCCAATCAATCCACATCAATGGGTACATCACCATCAAGCAAGAAGGCTGAATACTTTGGTACTTGCCTTAATATCTGAGCCCCTGTACTTCTCCTGACAGACAATACATGAGGCTGAAGAAAACGTTCCATGAGCTTCCACCAACTTTTCTGGAGGAACCCCTGCCACTACAAACAAACAAACAAACAAACAAACAAATGAACACTGTAAATGTGTAAGATACAATCATCATCATCAAGTCACCATCATCATCTCCAACAGCGACCATCAGCTCATGAGCTTCACCCCTCCCTGCACAATGTGTGTTTTAACAAGGACAATGAACTTATTTTAGCAGATCTGCTCTAACTCATAACTCCAAGATGACACTCTGAAGATGATGAGTTCGTTATAAGAAGGCATCATTCAGTTCACAAGTGCAAAATTTATGGAAATCCCTGGGAATCATTGCCAAAGCTTCATATTTGGTGCTTTCTGCGATGCTCTTGGCAATCAGCTAGCCGTTCTGTGGAACGAACGCATGAACAAACTTTATTTTCAAATGTCACAAATTAAGCACGCAGATCGGTCTTACATTTGGCCTTTCCAAGCACCCATCTCTCAGAGAGACTGAGGCATATGGGAATTAAAACCTGGTGCAATGAGTCGATTCTCTTGACTTTAATTACACCAAAATCACAATTAAAAAAAACATTAGGATCAACTGTTCTATTTGGCTCTGAAATCTAGAGTACAACCCAAAGAGATGAAACCTTATTACAAACTTCTGAGAACAGGGACTTATGATGAATGTCTGGTTTAGTCAAAGAAGCAAACAGTGGAGAATGAGAGTTAGAAATTTATAATCTGTTTATATTGTTATATATTTTATACATACCCACGTGCGCGCCAGCCTGCACACACACACACAAAAGATAATTGTTATTATTATATTCCATCATTGCGGCTTAGGCGTTGCGAGTCCAACTCATACCGCGATCGAAACCCACTGCTGGCTATATGAATTTTTATCATGGTATGGGGCGTCGCAGCTCAAACCAGCCTAATATAGGTACCAGGATGTATGTCCTGGGGAAGTAAGGACGGCTGGCAAAATGCTGATCACATTACCCACCAAGTGCTGTAAAGATATGGGTGCTCTTCCCATATGCCCGATGCGCCGAAGGCGTGAAAAGGGATCTTTACTTTATATTCTACCATTAGTTTGTTGAGTATAGGTGCTGTACCACTGTTGTTTGTTGTAGCTGGACTACTCTACTATACTGATACTAAATAACTCTCACATACCTCCACTGACTATTACCTGATCAAACGTAGTGTAGAGACATGCTACCTCTCCAGACAGAAAAAGGAACCTTAATCTCTTATTCTCTTCTCACTGTCCTCTCTTCTTGTCTATTTATATTCTCCTCCCTGTACACCTCATCATTCTCTTTCTCTTACCCCACCCCTAGGCCAACACTCTTGTAACATGCACACAACAGAAAGATGTGTGGAGGAAATATAAAACACAAGCAATGTCCAGAAGTGGACAAACAACCAGAACTTTTCTGCTTTGGCTTACAGCTGGTAAACATGAAGAAGAAGAAGTATTTTTCTAAACCGCCTACCTCAGACTTTAAACCCTGATAGGTCAAGAGCCATGAAAATGTTCATTAACCTTCAAGCCAAAAAAGCTACACACAAAAAATACAATGAGGAACTCTTCCCTCAAAGGAGATTATAAATGTATACATAAGCAAAAACAAGTTCAGATAACTCACATCTCTCTAGGCCATCAATATTCTGTGTGTACAAGCGTAAAAGGATTCCTCGGTCACTCAGCAGACGGGCAAAGTAATGCACATAATTGGGTCTGTACTTTCCAGACGGATACAGCTCCTTAGCCAGGGCAAAGAACGGCCGAGGGTTGTGATGGAAGAAATCTATGTCAAAGATGGCTTCTGGATATGGAATATTATACTGCTGAAGATTATCGTACAAGCCGCTGCCTGGTGTCCTGTGTTTGGGAGAACAATTATGAGACTGTAGATTTCATCATTAAGTCTTAAATCAGCGGTTCTTAAACTGGGTGCCGCAGCACCCTGGGGTGCCGTGAGTGTATGACAGGTGTGTGTGGCAGTAATCAAGAAAAAACGGCTATAAATTCTGAAATTATTAAAGAAAGCATGTTGATACTGGAAAGTTTTAATTTAAGTTGTCTTTCCTCGTCACTGTCATAAGGAGTTTTTTTCCACACTCAGACCTGTTTCATATTACACAAAGTGCCAACCGCAAAGTCCTAAAACTTGTCTTTGTATTTATCTTGAGGTGGGACTGATCCTCCACCTGCATGCATTAAGGTACAGTCAAAAAGTAAAGTTGCAGTTAAATTTTTAGTGAAATTTTAAAGTGGAAAATTTGGTCTGTATAGTAGTAACTGTTAGCCTGATCAAGTAAGTACTTATTTATAGGTAATGTGTGTGTGTCTGTGAGAGAGAGAGAGAGAGAGAGAGAGAGAGAGAGAGAGAGAGAGAGAGAGAGAGAGAGAGAGAGAGAGAGAGAGAGAGAGAGAGAGAGAGAGAGAGATCATAAAATGTTTCATTTTTTGTGTGTTACTTTGCCTAAATCAGATTTGAGGATATTGCTAGCGAGAATAAAAAGATGCATTTAAATTACATCGAGTGAAGGGCTGAACGAATAATGACTGACAGGCGAATTCGGTTGCATTCGTTCATGTCATCGCATTAAGGGCAACTGGACATAAAATTTGAAATTTTTTTTTTCGAAGTATTCAAACCGCTTAAAGGGTGGGTGTCCAGCAAAGTTTTTTTTTAGCTCGACAAGGGTGCCGCGGCGAAAAATATTTGAGAACCGCCATCTTAGATGCTAGGCTATCAGCCTGGAGGTCTTGGATCCATCCAGATGGATTTTTTTCTTTCTTCAAAACTGACCTTGGATTCTAGGTTGACCTAGCCTGAAATAAGTACCAGGTAATGTCCTGGGAAGTAAAGGTGGCCGGCGTGATGTTGACCACATCACCTACTGACCACAAGTTGGTGTAAATAAATATGGGTCTAGCAACATGTGCCCGATGTGCCATTGGTTTAAACGGGCGTCCTTTACCTGTTACCATAAAGTTAATGGAAGTTCAAGGAGACTGCTGTCATGCCAATGTGAAGAATGACTGAATGATCATCAAAATGTGAACAGTATTATGTTTCTGTTGTAAAATATGATCTGTTCACAAAAACTTTGGTCAAACTGTTCTCTTGTCTGTGTATCTTTTCTTTCACTGAGCTTGGTAGCTGCATTTCTTTGTTAAGTCAGGGAATCACCAGAAACTGATTAGCCATTAGTGAAAATCATCATCACAGCATTCGAGACAGATCCATGGCTGCTGTGATCTCATCCCCAGCAGCTCCAAAAACAAATTATCCCTGCCTGCTCTATGCTGATCAGCCATAATACCCTTAATTGCTCGTCGTCTCCTCCTCCTCCTCCTTCTTCCTCTGGCTAGAAACTCTCTCAGCAAGTTCTGGTTGCTCGTCCACTTCTGGACTTTAGTCTTGTTCCAGAACCTGAGTTCTTCATGCACATCCATTTTGCTGATCTGGCGTATTTGTATGCATTGGTTGTTTATTTTTTGCCTCTCAGGGGGAGGCACTCTGACTTCGAATGAAATCCCTAGTTAGTTGACTCTTACAACATGCTTGTTAGGCAGGCAGTGGGTCTCCACCTCCCCCGAATGCGGATCTGCAACCCACATGGGGAGAGTAACTGATTAGAGATCCATTATTTTTCTTGGGACTGAGTTAAATATATTTATACAGATGGAATAGAAGCATAAGCAATCAAATACAAAGGTTCTGAAGAGACCAGGAATGAAGAGATGTTGAAGGGAATAAAAACAAACAAGTGAAATATTTGTGTTATTTTTAAAAACATAACACGTTTATAAAAACCATACTTGATGGAAAAGTCTCAAGCAAGAGGCAGAAAGTGCTACAAGTGGGAGGATAACAACAAGAGATGGACGAACTGAGGTCTGAAAGAGTGGAAATTCAGGGTGAAAAAATACAGAATGTGTTGGCGGTCTATTTCAGCCAACATTTCAATGTGGAGACACCTGATTGAAAGCTGGCAAAAGACACAAAACTCAGAATGACCCATTAGTGTGTGTGTTTTTTTTTTTTTTACCTAAAATCAGGAATACCACTGGGTGTTGATATTCCAGCCCCTGCAACAATCACCACATTTTTGGCCTGTCCATTCTTCAGCATCGTGGCAACATCACTCAGCTTTCTCAAGATCACGTTGCTGCCATTAGAACAAAATGTCCGCCTGCAAGAGAATGTAAATAAGTACAGTAGAACCTCGCTTAACGAGCACCTCTCATAACGAGTAATTCGCATAATGAGCAAAACAAATTGTGAAAGAATGACTTGCTTGAAGAGCGACGTTTCGCATAACGAGTGGCGAGGAGAGGGAAAGTCCCGGATTGTGCGCAGTCTGTGTTCAGCATTCAATCCACTAGCATCGTAATGTCGCTTGTGATCACACACTTTCTCAAACTAGTGTTATATTGTGATATATGTACACGAATCCTCCAGGCCTACAAGATAACCTCTCTGAAGAATTTAAGTTCATCAAGATCCAGTTTCTGCCTCCCAACAACAGTTACTCCAGCCCATGGACCAGCAATTTATTTCTAACTTTAACAAGCTCTACACTAAAGCACTCTTCGAGCATTGTTTTCAGGTGACTGAAGGGACCAACCTCACTCTCAAAGAGTTTTGGAAAAATCACTTCCACATCGTTGCCTGCCTCAAGATGATTGACAAGGCGGGGGAAAAGTTACCAAGAGAACCCTAACTTCTGTTTGGAAGAAGCTTTGGCCGGAGAGCGTTGTCGATTTGTGACTTTGAGGGGTTGGAGGTAGTACCTGTGGAACCTGTAGTCAACGAGATTGTGTCTTTGGCCACTATCATGGGATTGTAGATGGATAACAGTGATATCGAAGAGCTTGTGGAAAAGCACAGCCAAGAGCTGACCACCCAAGAGCTTATGGAGTTGCATTGTTTTACAATCTTCTGGCGAAATAAGAGAAATGCTGAAAGCATGGCAAACTGTTGCATCTTACATAGAGAAGCACCACCCTAATAAGGAAGTGGTTATGCGTGTTACAAATTTATTTAATGATTATGCTGTGTCGCATTTTTACCAAATTTTGAAGCGTCGGCAAAAACAAATATCTCTGGACATCTTTCTAGTAAAAAAACAAGAATTAGCTATGTATTATAATTATTTCAACTTTTTTTTTTCTGCAAATCGAATTCGCAAAACAAAGGAGCTATGGTAGCATGGCAGCTAAATACAACAGACAAAAAAAAGGACGGTAGCTAAACACAACAAACAAAGGAGCTACAGCAACACAGCAGCTTAATACAACAGACAAACAAAGGAACTATGGTAGCACAGCAGCTTAATACAACAAAGGAGCTATGGTAGCACAGCAGCTAAATACAACAAAGAAGCTATGCTAGCACAGCAGCTAATTACACCAGACAAACAAAGGAGATATGGTAGCACGGCAGCTTAATACAACAGACAAACAAAGGAGCTATGGTAGCACGGCAGCTAAATACAACAGACAAAAAAAGGATGGTAGCTAAACACAACAGACAAACAAAGGAGCTACAGTAACACGGCAGCTTAATACAACAGACAAACAAAGGAACTATGGTAGCACGGCAGCTTAATACAACAGACAAACAAAAAAACTATGGTAGCGCGGTAGCTTAATACAACAGAAAAACAAAGAAGCTATGGTAGCACAGCAGCTAAATACAACAAACAAAGGAGCTATGGTAGCATGGCAGCTAAATACAACAGACAAACAAAGGAGCTATGGTAGCATGGCAGCTAAATACAACAGACAAACAAAGGAACTACAGAAGCACGGTAGCTAAACACAACAGACAAACAAAGGAGCTACAGTAACACGGCAGCTTAATACAACAGACAAACAAAGGAACTACAGTAACACGGTAGCTTAACACAACAGACAAACAAAGGAGCTATGGTAGCACGGCAGCTTAATACAACAGACAAACAAAGGAACTATGGTAGCGCGGTAGCTTAATACAACAGAAAAACAAAGAAGCTATGGTAGCACAGCAGCTAAATACAAAAAATTAAGGAGCTATGGTAGCATGGCAGCTAAATACAACAGACAAACAAAGGAACTACAGAAGCACGGTAGCTAAACACAACAGACAAACAAAGGAACTACAGAAGCAAGGTAGCTAAACACAACAGACAAACAAAGGAACTATAGAAGCATGGTAGTTAAACACAACAGACAAACAAAGGAACTATAGAAGCAAGGTAGTTAAACACAACAGACAAACAAAGGAACTATAGAAGCATGGTAGTTAAACACAACAGACAAACAAAGGAACTATAGAAGCATGGTAGTTAAACACAACAGACAAACAAAGGAACTATAGAAGCAAGGTAGTTAAACACAACAGACAAACAAAGGAGCTACAGTAGCGCGGCAGCTTAATACAACAGACAAAGGAGCTATGGTAGCACGGCAGCTAAATACAACAGACAAACAAAGGAACTTCAGAAGCACAGCAGCTAAACACAACAGACAAACAAAGGAACTACAGAATCACAGTAGCTAAACACAACATACAAACAAAGGAACTACAGAAGCAATGCAGCTAAACACAACAGACAAACAAAGGAGCTACAGTGGCACGGCAGCTCTATATAATACAGACTGCGACTAAAAAGCTCAAAGGAGGGAAATGAAAAGACTGGCACAAATAAAACAAGACATTTCAACAAAAGTCTTTATCAATGGAGTACCAAATACAAGAAAAACTGACCAGAAAACTCACGGACAAGACAATGGAGCTTGCAAACAGCAGTGGTTAAAATGAAACCAGAAATACATAATAGAAGAAAATATGGGCTGATGAGACAACAATCTCTTCCACGGTGCGACTCTTGTAACATTGTCCGAAAACTACACATTTCTTTTTTTTAATTAACCATCTGCAGCTGAGACGGATTCCTAGTACTCCACAATCATGAAACTTTTATATGCATTGATGAACCTCCAAGCCATATGATACACTAAAAGATACAAATAGAAAATATATCTACTGCAGTGAGAAAGTGTTAGAGAGTGCTTATACAGAACCTTTGTTGTTACATGCCAAATATGGGCAGTAAGAAGATATTTTGTTTTGAATCTACTGACAGCAGAAATGTGGTTTCTGAGAAGAAGGCAACAAATATTAGGGGGAAAAAAGAGAGAGAGAAAAAGAGGCAGTCCTTCTATAAACAGGGAAAAACTGTAAACTGAGTAGGGAAATTAGATGTAAACAATTTATATTCTCCTAACATGTTATGTCTACTATTGCAGATAGGCTCAAAGTTCTGTAAGCAAAGTCATATCTCAGAGTAGATGTGGACAAGAGGCACCTCCTGCATAAGGACATGGATAAAGGTAAGGGTCACAGACTGAAAAGAGAAAAGTCTTGGATGGTGCAAGCTGAAGAAAGACACAATTGGACATGTGTGCAGACTTGATAAATTTAGGCGAGGAGAGGAATGAGTCAAAGTGTCCTATTATGTTTCAGATTTGTGTAGGGTTCTAATCACTTTGGGATGTGAGTGCAGTGACTGGCCAGCTGGTGCTGCAGAATCGGAAGTTCAACATATGATTCATAAAAATTCCCACCAGGTGATGTGATTGTATTTACAGATGGCTCTGTGTTGAGGGGCAGACGAAGTGCATGAGGTTGAAGATCCAGCCAATCTATATGCCTGTTTATTCCCCACCACACCAGCATGGCCTAGAGAAAAGATCCAAAGTATGCTAACTACCCATGACCTTCCCAGTGAAGCTTGCCACTCTGCTCGAAGCATCCCTGTCTTCACCTTTCTCAGCATGTTTTCAGAGACAGGTACAATTATGACATGTGCATGCATCTTGCTCTCTAGCCACCAGAAAGCTGCAGTTACCGCCTCCACCTCCATTCTAATTCTAGTCGTGCTAGGCTGACCTGCACTAAAGATTTTCCATTGGCTTTCGCTAAGAATAAAGGACAACAGAGAAAAAAGGACACAGAGGTGTTCTACATTCATATAATGTAATGACGATGAAGACATACCTATTCTCAAACTGTCTGGTGGCAGATTTGTCTTTCTGTAGCAGACTGAGGTCATGCATGCCAGTGACCATGCCACATTCAGAGTCTGACTGGTAGCCTGTTCTCCGGTTAGTGGACCCATACCTTCGTGACAGACGCAGAGGTGGGCTGGGACTTAACGAAGGTGATGTGTTGTAACCACCCGATTTTGAATGACCTGTTCAGAAAACATTAGACACATGAATATTTACTAAGTGTTTGTCCGCACATCTGGGAACTCATCTGCAAACTTTGAACAACTAAATCATACAAATGATTTTTTTGGGGGTTGAATTACCCTTTCTCAGGGGTCGCCTAAGACCAATCCAAAACACTGAATTTATGAATGAGTGACTAAAATAATTGCACGGTTGGAGGTCTCCACAACATAAAGACTGCATTAAAGGGTCGCAGCATTAGGAAGGTTTAGAACCACCGCTCCAGAGGATAGTTGGACGAGGTTGGCCACCGTCTATGAATTTTAAAATTATTCAATGGTCTTTTGGACAAGTATTTTAAGGTACCTAGTTGGAAAAAAGAATGCCTTAGCATCACACTTCAGTGTGGAGGTAAATTTATCATTGTTCTGTCTGCTGTTAATGCAGGTTTACTGATGCTTATGACACCACTCACACTTGTAGCTGACATTCCTAGCCTTACACACACACTTTTAGCTGACTGTAGCCATTCCTAGCCTTACACACACACTTTTAGCTGACTGTAGCCATTCCTAGCCTTACACTCACACTTTTGACTGACTGTAGCCATTCCTAGCCTTACACTCACACTTTTGACTGACTGTAGCCATTCCTAGCCTTACACACACACTTTTGACTGACTGTAGCCATTCCTAGCCTTACACACACACTTTTGACTGACTGTAGCCATTCCTAGCCTTACACACACACTTGTAGCTGACTGTAGCCATTCCTAGCCTTACACTCACACTTTTAGCTGACTGTAGCCATTCCTAGCCTTACACTCACACTTGTAGCTGACTGTAGCCATTCCTAGCCTTACACTCACACTTGTAGCTGACTGTAGCCATTCCTAGCCTTACACTCACACTTGTAGCTGACTGTAGCCATTCCTAGCCTTACACTCACACTTTCAGCTGACTGTAGCCATTCCTAGCCTTACACTCACACTTTTGACTGACTGTAGCCATTCCTAGCCTTACACTCACACTTTCAGCTGACTGTAGCCATTCCTAGCCTTACACTCACACTTTTGACTGACTGTAGCCATTCCTAGCCTTACACTCACACTTTCAGCTGACTGTAGCTATGCCTAGCCTTACACTCACACTTTTGACTGACTGTAGCCATTCCTAGCCTTACACACACACTTGTAGCTGACTGTAGCCATTCCTAGCCTTACACTCACACTTGTAGCTGAGTGTAGCCACCTCTCTAGCCAATAGCTGTATATATGACCCACTAAGATAAAGTTATAACAAAGGACAACATACTAAATATAGAATGCCACACAGAGCTGCAAGGAAAAAATAAATATAATATCACAAGAACAAAAATTCCTTTAAAGGGTATTAATATTACACAGCGAAATACTAATAACTTCCCAATAACAAGCTGTAAATATAATTATGATGTAAATAGGAGTGACAGAAGTCAATCGTGTGATAGGACATACTATATACCTTAGTTACTGCTACAGCATCTTGCTCAGGTGATCACACCAGCTGCTAGTACTCAGAAAATTGTTGCACTCATAGTCTAGGCATTCTCAGTTTTCCTGTTATGTATTTCTTAGTTTGCTGTTAACCCTGAATGTTTACAAGCTTTGTTGTCTTGTCTGTTTAGTTTTGCAGTAACATTTTGTGTTGTATTTAGGAATCGACTGACAGACTGGTCGAAACTGCGATCATATTTGTGTATGTTTCCATATGCTCTACTGAGCTTTCAAATCTCATGTTGCGTTGTCAGTCAGGCTATCAGTCTTCATCGAACATGAGTCACCCTTTAATTGCTGTGTTCCTGTGCTAATGAAAACCACACAAAATGCCCATCACCGCTCAATGTGAAAATTGAAATAGACAGCAATCCTGGCAACATCTAACAGCTCGCATGCGTCAAATGCATAAGGCAGCCACCAAAGGTACCAATACCTACAGTCTGTCACTGGAACTGCTATTCGTAACAGAGAAGCAGCAGTCATGACAAACTAGCAGGTGCACACACATTACTGCATAAGGTGCACATACATTACTGCATAAGGTGCACACCCATTACTGCATAAGGTACACACACATTACTGCATAAGGTGCACACACATTACTGCATAAGGTGCACACACATTCCTACATAATGTGCACACACATTACTGCATAAGGTGCACACACATTACTGCATAAGATGCACACACATAACTGCATAATGTGCACACACATTACTGCATAAGGTGCACACACATTACTGCATAATGTACACACACATTACTGCATAAGGTGCACACACATTACTGCATAAGGTGCACACACATTACTGCATAAGGTGCACACACATTACTGCATAATGTACATACACATTACTGCATAATGTGCACACACATTACTGCATAAGGTACATACACATTACTGCATAATGTACACACACATTACTGCATAAGGTGCACACACATTACTGCATAAGGTGCACACACATTACTGCATAAGGTGCACACACATTACTGCATACGGCTCTGTCAGTTCTGTGGCAACCAGCCAATTGAAATTTCCTGAATTTACAATATGCATTTCTGTGAGCACAGACAATATGCATTCTCCACGAATTTCACAGCTCACAGTGTCAAACCATGCACTCAACTCCGCAGCTGGCCAACAAAACTGGATTTGTCTTTAGGATCTGGTAATCTGGTAATGTTAGTTTCAGCTTCATAGCAAACGGGTCACCCTATCGTTGCTTCGCTCCTATGCCAATGAAAAACACACAGAATCTTTATCACAGTCCCTTGTGGAAGGACTGACAGACTGCTGTCTCAGCATATGCACTAGCATACACATGCACATTTTAAGCATACGGCAGCCATCTGAAGTGCTAACACAAACAGTCCGACATTAGAAATGCAGTTCATCATGGGTAGTAGCAGAAGTCACCAACAGATCAGCAGCAGCGTCGCTACGCATGGCGCGGAGTGGGGCTAAACTAGATGGCTGGGAATCAAGAGCAAATAAAATGAAGAAAGTTGCAAGAGATGCGGTAGCTGTTGCTCGTGAGTCCCAGCCAGCTAGTTTCGCAGCGTGTAACGTCGCGGGAGATACTCTTGGCGGTGGCGGTAGTCGCCGGAAGTCTGCAATTTACATGTGACTGAGGCCCTGTTCGGGTATATTTTCGCCGCAATAATTTGGGACCGTTATTCGGAGGATAGCTGCAATATTTATTATATTATAATTATCTCTACGAAAAAAAATTGACAAATGTATAACAACTAATTCTGCTAAGTCCTAATAATGTAACATACCAGCAAGTCAGCAACAACAAATCATTACGATGTTGGGTGTAACTGTCTTGAAATTACATTTATATGTGATTTATTTATGAGCTAGGCAATCACACTGACTACTGACTTCACTTACCTTTCACATTTGCGGATGCGGCAAATGCCATGACTCTTTTCATGATCATGGCATAATTATTAGCACAACAGGCATAAAACATTCAGGACATCAGCACTCGGCACGCCTTTGCTCTAGTCAAAAATGAAAGAAGAACAAAAGTTCAATAATTAACTAGTGGAGCGGCTGTCGCTGGAGCAGCCATAGTTACAAGAAATCATCGGGAGATAACAGTTGCAGACTCCATGAAACCTGTTGCCATTTATAGACAGTCGGTGCGCACGCACGTTTGTCGCCGAGTTACTTTATCCCCGTCTGCCTCTAGATGATGGTTATAAAAGTTAGTATTTTTTTTTTTCCCCCTTCAACTTGGCTGAAAACTCTGACGGACAGTTCTGGTGTTCGTCCACTTCTTGAGCACATCCGTTAGTAGGATTTGGCTAATGTTTTCTTAACATTTCATACGGGCAAGTGGAAACGGACGGCGTTATAACAAATATTAACCTTGGTAGTGCGAGGAGGTAACTGAAACAGAAAGAAAACCAAAACAAAACCCAAATAAACTTTGGATAAAGTCAAAAAGGAAAAACAATTAGGTACAATAACTGGTACTACAATTTTATACTACATAACACCCCTACAAAAGTGGACTGCCCTATGGATTCATCGGTTCCCTTTGTTTGGGGTCGTCTAAAATTATAGTACACATGTTTTTGTTTTTTTTAAAGTACTGCAGTCAAAAGTTTGTGAACAAGAGACGTTCGTTACAACCCCAGATAAATAGTTAATGATAAGACAAGAAGGTCATTAATAGGTCCACCAGAAATAGCAGAAAGATGGGGTTGTGGAATACTTAAATGAGCTCTAACACGCTAGGAAATCACTAGAAAAGAACAACTAAAGACAATAAAGATACAGTTCTAAAACCAGATATACTTACCGTTGAAGTAAAAAATGGTAACTAAGCAGTCTCCCAGTATAAAGCAACAGGTTTTGTTAGGCTTCAAGCGGAACTAATCCGGACAGTAGGTGAAAGCAGTGCTAGATAGCTTCACGGAGTATTTAGCGCATGACAAACTGCTCCCACTGACTGGCAACACACAATAATTATACCATTGTGGTATTAGGAACAAGGAAAGTCATTAAAAATGCAGCCAATACCTAGACATCTCTCTGTTTAGTCAAGCTGGAGAGAGTAACAAAGCAAAAGCATTACAAAAACAAATCGATGTTCGAAGTGATGAAAAACTTAGACAAACGACGACTGGGGAAAGTTCTCTTGCAGGATGAGAGCCGCTTCTGCGTTCAGGGTAAGATAACTCAGTTTGTTTAGAGGCCATCGGAAGAAAAGGTTTATAATTAATTCTCTTATTGACAATACGTGAAACACACACCACACACACACACACACACAAGCAAGCGCACACGCACGCACACACACACACATACGCACTCACATTCACACGTACAAAACCTGAATGTTTTTTGGGGGTCTATGGGTTAACATCATAAACTGCGCACACAAGAGAGCTGAGTGGAAGTAGACTACAAGGCAGACCAAGGAACGGAACGGACTTTCTACCCCACTAGGACATCACGCAAGCGATAAACACCCGATGACACAAAGTGCCACCATGTGGATGAGGATCACCGTGGAGAGGTAACAGAAACCGCGTTCAGACAATTGGCCATATTTATGGCCTGCCTATATTGCGGCCCCTGGCAAAAGCCAGAGTGGGGCTTCAAATAACAAAAAAATTACGTCCTAAAAAGGACGTAAGAAAGGCAGACCAAGACGGTGAAGAGGTTATATACGACCTACAAACACTTGGGGTCACCGAATGGAAACAGCTGGATGGGGGAGGAAGATATCGACTCAATGAACAGGGTTTGGAATGCCGAAACAGAAACAGACGAATGGGTGTTTATGGAATCGGCAGCGTGCACCCAGTCTAGGACACCACACACCCGCCATAATATATTGACCTTCACCAAAGAAGCGCTGTTACAGAATCTTGAAAAAAAAAATCCCCTGAAGGATATGTGTCTATCGGGCCTGAAACGGTGCTTTAAAAAAATATTGAAGAACTGTTAGTTTCACTATTAATATGTAGAATACATTGAACAGCCTGGAAATTCGCAAAATGTAAAAGAAAATTGACATATGTAGCCTGTAAGAAACAGCAAAGGTTTGAGGATTTGAACAACGGATTAACATCATGGCATACGGGTAGTAACTCATGAGTGTTCCGTTTTTTATCTTACTTAAGTATGAGTCCGAAGAAGCTCAGCACATTGCTCAGGCTCTGAAACACCTGCGAGGATCCTAAAATACTTTGGGTAGATTTTTAACTCCAAATTTTGCACCGGACAGCGCCGTTATGCTACTCTTTTCGATTTCCAACTGCCAAGTGAATTTTTACGAGCGCATTAATGCACACGGGCGTTTGATCTCTACCCAGAGACCAGGGGGAATTACTAGAAGTCCAAGTCCACGTAAAAAAATCCCAGTCCTTACCGGGAATTGAACCCGGAACCTCTAGCACTCGAGGCGGACACTATGTCTCAAGACCACGCAACAAAGGTGAAACTTTGCAAGCTTTAGTTCGAGTTTTGTACAAGGACCCAAGATTGTTCAAATGTAGCGGGTTCTATGACAAACCGTATCAAAACTTTGCTGAAAACCTGAAGAGGTCATATTAATAATTCTTCTTTTTCTTCTTCACTTCCTCTTTTACCGCTGTGGGTGTCAAGGGAGATATAAGGTTCTCTTTCTAGCATATTATGAATTAATCAGAGTATAATAGTCAGGGGCGTCATGGACACCTTAGAGCAGGGGTTCTCAAACTTATTTTCTCCGCGGCAGGTTTGTCGTGGAAAAAAAAAATTCGCGACACACCTACCCTTGAAACGGTTTGAATACTTGCCCCCCCCCCCCCCCCCCCCAAAAGTGCAAATGTCATGTTCGGCTGTCTTTTATGCGATAAATGAAACTGTTTGGATGAATTTTTCAGTATTTCATTTTTGTTTATGGAAAAGTTTAGTTAATCGTATCTCAAATCACTTGAAGATTGCTCCTGTATTTTTTTTTTAACGTACGTTGAGAATACACTGCAGCCCTGAAAATAGCATTGTTTTCTGAATACACCTGCATCCAGAACCTTTCTTGGCTACCTCTACTGTATTTCTGTTTTCAACTGCTGTCTTCGCTGATCTCAAACAGATTTTGAAAAATTCTTGACTATTGCCGCGGCACACAGTTTAAGAACAGCTGCCTTAAAGACCTAAGTTCCCCCCCCCCCCCCCCCCCCCCCCCCCCCAACTATGTATAGAAGTTCCCTTTTTAATTTTTTTATGTGCATTATTTTAAATTTAGTTTTATGATATTTGCATTCAGAACACTATGACAATTATTATGTTGTTGATGATGATGGTTATTATTAGACACTTTATATTTGGGCACTTAAATAAAACTTATTTGGAAGTTGCGGTAATGTGGTTTTTAAAGACGAATGGTGAGAATACCCTGCAGAGATAAAAAGAGTAATGAAGACATCTTGAAAGAAACTGGCCCACGAGAAAACTGATTACCCACATCGTAAACAGACAATCTACATTCTTTGGTTATGTGATGAGAAGGAGAAAACTGGAGTACATCGTGACGGTAGGAAATTTGGAAGAGGAGGAGAGGCAGAGAAAGACCAAGAGAAAAGATGGTGGATAGTTTGACATCGTGACATGAAGGATCTTCTGTGTCAGAGTTGATTGAAACTGCATGAGAAGGTTGTCGATAGACCTGACTAACAACGCCACATGGCATGGACTCTAAGGAGAAAAAATAAAACTTAAGCCTCTTCATACCTTCACTTTTAGATACATTTTGAAGCGATGAATTCCATACCCCACCCCACCCCCAACGTTTTCTTTGTGTCAGCGCCCTGATATAAGCGTGAACAACTATCGAGGTCTGATTCATTCAACTGCACTATGGTGTAGATTGCCTTTACTCTCCATTGAAATCTGGTTTGCTTCTGCAGTGGACTATTGCCCTAACGAGTTTGAGGTTTTGAACAACGGATCAACATCATGGCACAATGGTATAACCCATAAGTGCCCATTCTTCTTTGAATTCAAGCATGAGTCACAATCTGATTATATGTCCGTCTTGCCTTTCCTCTGAGTGTAGTGAGCCGGCCAGACACTCTGGTTACACCCAAATGCCTCATTCTCTCCGGGGCATAATAATCTACCTCTACTGACTCCATTGCTTGTTACCAAAGGGCCTTGGCCACATCTGTCTTGTCATGTATCAATTCACCACCCAGTGGTGCAGATCCAGCCAGTCTTTTCATTACCCACCAAACCAGCATAGCCTGGAGAAAAGGTCCAAAGTATGTTCACTAGCCATGGACCTTTCCAGCGAAGCTTGCCACTCTGCTCAAAGCATTCTTGTCTTCACCTTACTCATCATGCTTTCAGAGTCTCTTACAATTACGACACGTGTATGCATCTTGTTCTCTAGCCACCAGAGAACTGCAGTTACCGCCTCCACCTCCATTTTCATGCTAGATATTGTGGTGTGGTATGCTAGGCTGTCTTTCAACACAAAGTATCAGTTATAAATGTAAAAGATGTTGGAGCTGTTTGGCATGTACTATGATGCTCTTTATTCTGCGGTACCCCTTAACCTGCTGCGTACCTGGCTATGCTGGTTGTGAGTGTATCTAATGGTTCTCGGCAATGCTTGGGCCTGCTACCGGCAGTTTTCATCATCCCCAGCGTGGGTCGTTAAACCCCACCCGGACCGTACCACCAGCGACCAACACGCGGTGACACAAAGTGCCACCATTCGGATAAAGATCACCCGGGCAAAGTCCCGTTCAGCGGTAAGGTTATATGAGGGCCCCGGACTACAGCCAGAGTGGGGCTTGTAAATAACGAAAAATGGCGTTCCACATTGGGAACGGATCTAATTTCTACCATCCACATCGGTGATCTCCCTCTTTTTAGAGGGGACGGCGCTCATTTTGAGTATAGGGTAAAATTTTCCCCTTCAAGGACCCC